ATGTCACAATACAAAGAGCATTCATTACAATTAAACACACTATCCATCATGGTTGACATTGCATGTGTCATTTGCTACGGCCAACATGCTGTGACGACAATTAACTGGTCAGCACTCGAATTCTAACTTTCAGTATGCCTAACTTTCTACTTAGACTTTCGATTGAGGTAATCCAAGCATCCACATGAAGATAATCAAATAACCTAGCTTATGGCTCTAGCCTTACCTCCATTCGATATCATATAGAAATTTTGAATACCTAGAGCCAACAGTGCACATAGCACAACTTCAATATCATCCAAGTACCCAAAACCCAATTCTTAGCTATTAGCCTACCATAATCACCTTAAACACATGTTAAGAGATTAGAATCCTTAAAACACTCTAAATGGATACTAAGATGGAACCCTAGTATAGCCTCCCAAGTCTTCTCTCACTCACTCTCTAATTCCTCTTTGTCTTTCTAACTAAAATTGTGTTTTTAAAACTTTAAATGCGACACATTAACCATGGCATAATGTGCCATCCACCACAAAAGATGCCACAGAACAAGAACCCTAACTTAAGCCTATTAATTTAGGCCTAATGTGGCCTAATAATACTTAGGGTCCGACTTTAGCTCTTATATAAGGTCCAATGGATCTAATGGTCATCCAATTACTCAAATTAACCTAATTAAGATCTAGATTAATTAGCCTAATTGTAACATCAAGAAAATTAACTCCTTAATTGGTTGAACTAATAAAGGGTAATAAAGTAAATTTTGATGGATATTGGGTTAGAGGATGGTTAGAGAAGGCTAACAAACCTATTGAGGCTAACAAAGCTTAATAGGTTTTGTTATAAGGGTGTGATTTTTAGACTTTGGGAGTTTTGGGTCTAAATCCATTAGTTTAAATGAAACTAATAGGAATTATTTGAGCTATCTACTTCTAGGTTTGAGGATTTATGCTCTCTTTTGGTTGGGTTCTCATTTCTAGATGAAATTTGGCATTTATTTTGGTGGTTGGGGGGTCTTAACAACCATTAATGGCATTTATTGTGTATAAAGAAGTTAGTTGGAGTTTATGGAGGCTAATGCAACTAATGGGTATGAATTAATATTAGTGGTTGTGAGTTTTGGGAAATAAAGGTTTTGGAATTGGGAGCTAGAAGTATAATTGTAATAATATTAATGGTGATTTGCATGGTTAATCATAAATTAATCATCCTGTGCATCGATTGATCTTAGTGAAAGATTTGGTAGGCAGCTAGAATTAAGGGATAAACATTTGACCACTCAAAGGTTTGAGATAATTAGGAAAATTTAGTTTGTGTATTTGCTCATTTGATTTATTATAAAGCTTTGTAAACACTACTATGTATGATTATATGAACATATTTTCATATTGATCATGATATGAGTATGCTTTAGAAATAATAAATGCAAGTGTGGCTTGAGATTGGTGATTGTAACAACTTTAAGAAAAATAAGATTTAATGAATTTTATAACAAGTATTGTAATCGATATCATGAATGAATGATGTGGATTTCATAAGAGTAAATTTATACTTGTTGTCATAGATATGATGTTATGGTATGAGATTGTGTGGAAAAGTTGAGGGATATGTGATGACGTTTATGAAATGATGGTTGTGTTAATTATGGCTTGTGATATGCTATTTTGTGTCTGAGCATGATGGTATGAATATTGGCATACTACATATGTTAAGCATATGTGGTTGTATTGTTTGAAATCCACATAATACTTATTAGCATCCTAGAGGCTTTGGTGCTTAGTTTTTTTATTTAGAAATCCTAGGAATATAATTGTGATAGATTGGGCATATGACATCACAGATATTAGAGACAAGGGAAATCTGTGGTCTAAAAATGGGTGAAAACACCTTTGGCCGGGTTGCCTCCCAAAATTAGTGAGCTTGGGCCAGTCTAGTCATGTGGGCTTAGTCTTGTGCAATTGTTAGCCCATAGATTCAGTCGAAGGAAATAAGGAGGATATAAGATAGAGTATTGATCATGCATTATTTTGAATGAAATTATATTCATATGCTTGATATGTTTATGAACAACTTATTTTACTTGCCACTTCACATGCTCGTGCATTGTTCTAGCATGCTAATAGATAGATTAGATTATTTGGTTACTAAGACATTGTTCTCACCCCTCGCGGTTATATTTTATAGGTGAAACCTTAGATAGGGGCAAAGGGAAAGAGGACATTGCCAAAAATTAGGAATATGTCTCTCTTCCTTTGGTTTTGCATGTAGCTAATGAATACATATATATATATATATGTTCATGTCAACTTAGGACATATATTATTTTTGGGTCACTTGCATGAGATTTATAATGTTCTTTTGATATATTTTGGCCTAGATTTTTGTAATTATGATGGAAATGATTGTGAGAGGTTGAAATACTAATCCAAGTGTCATTATTGGGATAATTATGTATTTATGGTTGGCCATGAAGTTGTTGTGTTGAATTATGCATTTACCCTTTGATCAACGATAAATCAAGGTTTTGATGTTCAATTTGTTTTTGAGATATATGTGTATGAATATAACTACTCTAGTAGGTGCATTGTGGTTTGTGTGAGTTGGTTTAAGTAGCCTTTAAGCTATTGGCAAATAGTTTATGGATTTGGAAACCTTTAGACAAGTTTTGGAAATGAAAAAAATGACTTTTTGCACCTTGGATATGCAATTTATAAATAGTAATGTATTTTATTGTGAAGTTAGTGCAAATAGTTAGGTGGCTTGATTGGCTATGTGTGAACACTTGAATTACTTTAGTCAAATGTCAAATGGTGAAATGACACACTTCGAAAGTTAGTCTAAGAGTGCTGTCATGATAGTAGAGATGTGCCACAGTGCAGAGCATTTATGCCACAATGCATGGTACAATAAGGAGATTTCCCCCTTTGTGCCATCCGTCAAGGTAGATGATGCTTGTGGCAGGACAGATGGAGCAGATTGGACCATGTCCAATGTGCTCTTGTTTGATGCTTGTTTGTGATGATTTCCTTTGCCATGCTTGCATATCCTTTTTATTGATGTTTTAAACTTTTGTTTGAGTTCAAAAACTTTCTAAAATGGATTTCTTGGGATCTCAGTTTTAACTACTTTTAAATTCAAACTCTCGTCTATTATGGTAATTTAATAATAAGAATTTATTTAATTTTGATTATTATGATAGTGTTGTGTGGTGTTTTGGTAATGTCAAAGAGGACATGACACCATAGCAAAGGAAAATTGCTATCCACTCAAATACTTTTTCTGTCTCAAATATTTTTGTTTGTTATGCATTTTTTGGAGTTTAGAATACAACACATCCACCATAATGCATATATCATCTGCTGCGGTAAATGACACAAACAAGAACCCTAATTTTTGCCATTATTTTATGCCACTCCTAGGATCCAATTCTAAGCTCTATATAGAGTCCAATGGACCAAATGGTCAATTGTCAGCTATAATGAATTCGAATTCCACCTCAATTGACCAATTTACCCTTAATTAGCCTAATTAACCTTATTTTAAATTTTAGAATGTTTCAATGTCACTGTCTCCTTTGTACCATAATTCCCTGATTTCCAGTAGTTGAATCATTTGAGAAATCTCCCTTTATGAAACACCTATGCAATGACTTGCAATTTTTTTTATTGTTCATTACCTTATGCTGCTAGGAAATTTGCTAGCCATGTCTCAAAGTTAACAAGTTATGTTGGGGATTTGAATTAGTAACAAGATAGATACTAAAAAACTAATTTTTCATTTCATGCCTTCTTAAAAATTTCCTTCTATTGTCATCGTTGAGCAACATAGGTGTATTAATTAACAAGTAATGTTACGAAATTAATATGTAATGTAAATGATTTAATAAGAAAGGATAACATTATTGTTAACTGTTATTCCAATTATAGGTGTCCATGAACCATCTTCTGTCATGCCAAGCCAAATAAGACTGTCAACTTGTCAAACTAATAATAACTAATATATCGCAAAAAATAACTTAACATTAATTCACAGACAAGTACATTTTCATACTTTAAAACAAATTTCATGCTAGTGCTTATAACCAGAATTGTTCTATATGTTCACGAACCATTCTACACCTTTATATCAGAACCTGATGCTAGTGGCTTATTCTACAAAATTGACAAGCAATTATTTGACAAGCAATAATTATAATTTACAAGTTCAAATACAAGTGGAAACAAATTTATCTCGGTAGAATTCTTTGTCGAGCTTTTGCTGGCAAGTAATTTCTCATTTGCTTCCTCTTTCTTTATCATTCACCATTTTTTCACACCGTACACAAATGTTTGCAGAAACATAACAAATGTTAACAAACATGAAAAAATTTATAACTTCAAGCATTCACCGAAACTGTGAGCAATTTTTGAATTTTTGCACACATATCTTTCAAAGTTTCAACACCCAACACAATAATTTGGTGAAATGTAGTCTCCTAAAAGGTTGAGCCCCAGAAACAAATATAGATGTTCATCCAATTCATTAAAGGAAGAGGCGTCTTCCTCTTAGAAGAGTGGAGAAATAAGCTTCAATCTTGTCAAAAATGGCATTCAGCATATTTTTTTCAGTCAATAACACGAGGTATATTTTTTGGAAAATGACATTTAGGTACTAAAATATTAAATTAATGATAATTAGGGGTTTGACAAATTTTTTTTAAAAATGAATTGTAAATATCAATTCAAATAATTAAAAATGAAAATTCTTCTTATAATTTATAAGTTATGTTTCATATTAAAATATTTACATTTGATGTTAAAATATTTATTTATAACTGGAATTTTTAAATTTATAGATCATTATTTTTATCATATTTTTTTAAAAATTTTTCAAGATTTAATTATGACCTGCCCATATTTTTAAAAAATTCGATGTTTTAGTCATGATGTTTAATTAAATTACATGTCTGTAATGGAATTCTCCTTTTTGACCCCAGCACGTTTTTCCTTCCCGGTCTTCTTACCATCTCTTCGTAGTTCGTTGTGGTTAGCTACCACCACGAGAGCTCTCCTCGCCTGCTCGTAGTTGTCGTTGTCGTTGTGATCTGCCACCAATACTGACCCAAAAAGTTGCTGAGCCAAGACATTTGGCATTCCCGGGCATGGCACTTCTGCGGCTTCGGCAGCCTTTGCTTTCTCGGGCTCCTTCTCTTCTTAAGGCTCGCCTCCTTTCTTCGTCATATGCCTCCTCCAGATCCCTCTATGGGTACTCTTGATTTTCTGTTCTTGATTTTGCTATGGAGCAAAATAGTTTTACTTTGTGTGGTTGTTTTTCGTCTTTTCATTTTGTTGAAATTGCGCATTTTTTCCCTTGAGCATGCGATCGGCTCTGTAGCTTATGAATTTATCTGATTCCTACAGCTTGGAAAACCGCGTTTCCAGGTTTTCCCCTATCTGATATTGCTGTTAGCAATTATGCATCTGTTTCTATCAGGGAACGAGGGTACTTTAGTGATGTGATTATGTTGTAGGGCGCTGACCACGGGTCCATGTCAAAGAGATGAATATCCTGTTACATTTTATGTTTAAAAAGAGATGAATATCCTGTTACATTTTATGTTTAAAACGCGTCTAGGAAACATAGTGAATTGATTCAATGGAGTCCAAGGTGTTGAAACAGTCAAAGCGGTATAAATCAACTATCGTGAAAAATTTTAGATGTCCATTTACACTCCAAAAGTTTTGTATCGACAAGTAAAAATGAAAGGTTCCATGAATTACGAAATATTTATATGTATAGACAAGTAATCGATTCAATATCTAACATTTACTGCCATCTAACATAGCTAGTGCTAAAACTGTTTGTTTGGTAAAACTTTCATTTAATCGTAGTTGGTACCTTTCTGTCATAAATGACTCTTGATCCCAACACATTTTCATTAGAGGGAAGCAATTCAACTAATCAAACTAGCCAACTTTGTTTCTCAAAGATACTGATTAGAAGTAACTGTGTTTGAGTGTACCAAAAGCAGCTTGTGTATTTGTTTCGGTAGCTGGAACTGACAAATTTGATGCATAATTTGAGTTGCAATCAACATAGAATTTGTGAACCTCCCATATGAAATCACTTGGTATGCCCTGAAATTGTTGAATTGGATGCTAAAGATAGTACTGTCTGAGTGAAGGAGAATTTGATAGGGAGCAAAAGTGGAGGTTGCATATTTTTTAGGCGAATAAGATGAATCCTTTGGTTTAGTCTTCATCATAACTGGCAAAGTTGATAATAAAAGTAATGATAAGTAAGGTCTATTGTGTGGTGAAGGGAAAAAAACCTTGGTACTTTAGTTATCTGTATAGATAATATTCCATATCTGCATTTATCTCGTGGGGTGTGTCCTACGGCAATTAGGCCAACCAATTACTAAATGAAAATGGTGGTAGTTACTAGCAATTACTCATGCTGGTCTTTATCCAAAAGAAGGACTCTAGTTTTTTTGTTCATCATGTTTAGTTCAAGTTTTGTTATTGCTGCATCTATGTTATCATTTGGTGGCATAACATATAATTCCTAATTTTTTGTTACTTCTGAGATGACAACATAAATCAAATGATCTCAAACCAGTTAAAGCTAATTTTATTATTGCGTTCTAATTTATATATATGTTTTTGGTTATCTTCTTGTTGCAGAACTTCTAATTCAAGGCGTTTGTCTGTGGGTGGTGATGGGAATCTTTTGAGGTTTGCATCCATTCGCCTGCATTTTTCTCATTAACTACATTTAATCACACAGATGTTTAGAATAGAGTTTTCTCAATCTTTCTACATGAACTATTGGAATTACGTTGGCTATAGGAAATCTTGGTCATATGTCAATGTGGCTTGGACTGTCAAAGTTGCCTCCCATTTTGGTCTCCAATGTTTTGGATTGGATGATAATTTGCTTCAATTGGGCTTCTGGAATTAAAATGCTAAACTTAACCGGTATAAAATCACCAACTCAATACACAATCCAGGATCAAATGATCCTATCTGCTTCAGGTTTCAACATTCCATGGTTGACTGGACTTTTGGACTGGAGTGAAGTTGGCATATTCTACTATGCAGATATCTCTGCAGTTTAGATTCATGATGTTTGAACATATTTCCTTTCCTTTACGTTGTCATCTTGATAGTTCACTAATGCTGAAGTTTACCAGGCCATCATCATTACCCTTTTTTACCGGAGTTTGTGATAATTCTTTGGAGTTCAAGGTTAGTATTTAAATGCACAATAAATGCCTGTTCCTTGCATGTTTACTGATAACTTTTATCGTTTTTTTGGCAGTGGGTTGGTGTCAAGTTTTTCTCATCTTCAGGTACAATCCTGTTTTCATTTTCACCAATTGTTCTCTAAAATAACCTGCCTGTAAACTCTGTGAACAGCTAGTTCAGGCATCTCCAGTCTTAGAGAATTCACGTGGATTGCTTGTTTAGGAAGTCATTTAATTTATCATGAAAGATTTATTATTTACAAATCTGAGAGTTGTTATGAGTTACAACACTTTGACGTTTTGAAGCTTCTCCTTTGTATTTAATCTATTTGTAATAAAAGGAAATAAAAAAAATATCATATGACGCAAAACACATTGGTGATGTTTATGTATACCTGAAGAAGTAATAGGGAAAGCCATAGTGGAAATAATAAGGCTATTAGTTTGAGGCCAGAAGCCCCTTAGATACAGCTAGAAAGCTAATGCATTTGTGAGAAAAATACTGCTCCTTAATTTTAAGCAATAAGCTGTAGCTGTTGATTTGTTGCAGTGATGGGTCGGTTGTCATAGCACAGGGAATGAGTATTCTTTTCCTTCTCTTTTACTGGTTTACAACCATATATGATCTGAGATAAGGACCCTAAGTAGGTCACATGGAGTTATGGGCATTTCCAAGCCGGGCTATGACAAAAACTATATGATAGGTTTTTCAAGTTGATTAAAGGATTGTGTAGTACCCCACTAAAAAAAAAAAAAATCATTGTGTAGAACAAAGAGGCAACTATCACATTTAGGCTGCTGTTAAAACTGCATGATATAAACAGTTGCAGGACACCATTGACAGAAGTGCAAGTTGAGTTAGGGAGTTGTACAAGATTTTGTTTAAAAGTCCAAAAAATCACTGTTACATGGGAATAGAATATACTTGCAATTCAGCAAATAATAAAACTCATGATTCATGAACTCTCTTTGAATTGCCAGTTTTGCTTTTAGGAAATTCTGTGCAGTTTCTTTGGAAGATCTAACAGTGTCATGGATGATGTTGATATTTTAGTAATATATTATGGCAAGTAAAAGGCATAATCTGCTAATACGAAGTCTGGTGCTTAAGTTATGTTCTGATCTGGCACTGATTGCTTATGTCATAATTTGTCCAGATTCTTCACATTTGGTCCTTGAGATGCCTGCCTTATCCCCCACAATGGTGAGCTTGCACGAACAAGTTTATCTCTTCATTGTTTTATCTTCATTCCTTTTATTGCTTCCATAGAATATGTTGGTTAACTACCTCTTGTGGTTCCAGAGCCAAGGTAATATTGCAAAATGGCGTAAAAAAGAAGGAGATAAGGTCAGTTAGGACTTAGGATAGAGTTCGTTCATGGTTGTAAGTTACATTTCTGCTTGTCTTTGATGTTTTTGGAGAAGAGATTGAATTCTATTCCGTTGATCATGTTGTTCTGTCTACTAATCAATGTAACAGATTGAAGTGGGTGATGTGCTATGTGAAATTGAGACTGATAAAGCTACGCTTGAATTTGAAAGTCTTGAGGAGGGGTAATTCAACTTTTTTTTCCCACTCCTGACCCTTTTCTATGTTTCGTACTGAATGGCTTTTTTGCTTTTGATATCCTTGAAAAGTAACATCTTTGCTGCACATTTTTCTCTGAGGCTGACAAATTGAAAATATCACTGTGGTGCAACACATGCAAAACAAGAACATAGACTTGAGAGACCACCAGATTGAGGACTAATGTTTCAGCACTTTTGTGGGACTTTAAAGTAATAAGGCAGTAGGAAGCTTGATTCAAATCAATCTAAGTGATATAGAAGAAGAGTAAACTAAAAAGAAAATACCAAAATTCGCAAAAAATTCTCAAAATCAAAATATCATAAAAGTCTGGGCAATTATCCTTTTAAACTGGAGACCTATTTATTTGTCTACTAAAGAAATGCGAATGAAATTCAAATACAAGTAACTGATATCCTAGTCCCTAAATACTACCATGGAAGGACATATGCTTAGGCATAAACATCTTTCATGATTAATCCTAATTATCTTATACTTAAATTACATATCAATCAATCTCAAACGATGATTACATTGTTATATGATACAACAACAACAACAACAACAACAAGCCTTTATCCCACTAGGTGGGGTCGGCTACATGGATTGCAAGACGCCATTGTGCTCTATCATTTATTAAGCTTTTAGAAATATTATTAATTAAGAGATCACGTTCAACAACTTCCAAGAGTGTTCTCTTAGGCCTTCCTCTACCTCTCTTAATCGGACTCAAAGTTATATGTTCCACTCTTCTCACTGGTGCCTCCCTTGGTCTTCTTTGTACATGCCCAAACCATCTCAACCGATTTTCTACCATTTTTTCCTCAATAGGTGCCACCCTCACTTTTTCACGTATGTGCTCATTTCGAATTTTATCTTTACGTGTATGTCCGCACATCCATCTTAACATTCTCATCTCTGCTACTCCAACTTTATGCTCTTGTTGTCCCGTTAGAGCCCAGCATTCACTACTATATAACATTGCCGGTCTGATAGCAGTACGATAAAACTTTCCTTTAAGTTTATTAGGCACCTTACGGTCACAAATAACTCCTTTAGCTTTTCTCCAATTAAACCACCCAGCTTGAATTCACATTGTTATATAATAAAATAGAAAAAATTCTATCTTCTCATATTGCATAATTCTCTTTTGGTCGGAAAATTTCTCAACTTTTGAATTGCAGAAAGGAAGCATAGGTAGTAGGCTGTAGGTGGCAGTAGCGGTGGTGGAAGGAAAGGCGACAATAAGATGGCATTGGCTATATCTCCGGGAATAATAAACTCAATCAATTAATCTAATCTCCATCTGCTACGCTTTTTTTTTTTTTTTGGGATCAGATGCTACACTTTTTATTAACATTTCATTATTATTGATTTCATGTACTATAGAATGATCATTATTGTCATCCATTTCATTGACTCTATCTCATCATTTTTATAATTCTTGTTGGTTCTATATAGATGTGCTATTATTTGACAATGATGCTCTTACATGATTCACATATTGAATCGAAATCTTCTAAATGATTATTGCAATGCTCTGATTTCCTCTCAAAAGGAAAGGGCCGCATTGCTAGCACATTTATCACTTGAGTGACAAGATTTTGAATTAATTGAAAGAATAACAATAATTTGAATTACACTCAAGCCTGTGAGATCTTTTATTACTGCTGTGGTTGATCATACCTCCAATCTGAGGTTTTAGCTGACTAATAATTCCATTCTTCATGTTCTTCATAGTCATAGTTTTCCATACTTGTCATGCTGTTGATAATTGGGGTATAATATAAGTGTGCCATAAACCTTTTAAACTAACAGCTTAAGAATGTGAACAACTGATCATCCATCCCAAAATACAAAAGTACATATCAGTTGGCAGTAACAGTCAAAAGAATATACAAAATTAACTAGTTAACTAGTTTTTTCAATGAGAGAACTATTCATTGGATATGTGAAAAGAAATCTTGATGATACTAGAGTATGATATTTCATTATCTTAATTCCATGTTAAAAAGGTTCTATTGATTATCCTTAATTAAATTAAATCCTAAATGACACCATTTGTTAATTTACAAGTCTTAAAAATTCATAATAGCAATTACCTAATCAAGCATTCAATAAGCAAGAAACTTTTTTATTCATCTTTCATCATTAAGTCAACACCTTATTCAATAGTGATTTGATTGTTAATTTTTTAAAACTTGTGGGTGAGCTAAACTTGGAGTTTAATTCAAACACTATTTAATAAACACGTTGGGAAATTGATGTTAACGTCAAAAGATCAATGACTTGTAAGTAAGATTCTTTTTTGTAAAAAATATTGCCAAACTACTTAAAGAACCTCAGATAGCAAAGCAGAAGAGGAAAGTATTGAATGGAAATGCTTTTAAAAAAATATTCCAACAAATATTTTTTCTTCATCTAAATGCCATGGGCATGTTAAAAGTTACATGTTGATAGAGGTTTGGTAGTATGGGATACCAAGTTCCACATTGACTAGTATGGGATGTACAATGGGGTATTTAAGTGGGTCGGTTTTGCCACCTCAATACCTAATTTTTGGAGTGGGGTTCTCCATTCTACTTAGGTATCCATCCTATGTAAATTAAAAACTAAATATAATAAAAAGGTACATTACTTTACTATTTGTTGCTATGCAGTAGATGATATTAAAATTTTAAGTCTCTAGAAATGTCTAGATTCTTAATTAATTACTCTTGGACTCAATTGCAGCTTAAATAATATGCGACCTGTTTTTGTTTTCCTATGGTTTTATTCCCATGTGAATTAGAATAAATATCTAGATAGATTGCAGAGCTTCTTAATTGATTACATTTGGACTCAAATTAGAGCTTAAATAATAGGCAATCAGTTCATTTTTTCCATGGCTTTGTTCCCATGTGAATTAGATTAAGCTCAAATATCATCTTGAATGGTGCACATTAATCAGCACTATCAGAATCATTAATGAAATGATTTTCATGGTCCAGTGTACTTGATTCATATTGAACCTTGAGCAAGAGCATATAACCATATTACTCAATGCAATTTTTTTTTTTTGTGTGGTAAAATTATTCCTGCAGATTTCTGGCTAAGATATTGGTGCCAGATGGGTCAAAGGATGTGCCAGTGGGACAACCAATTGCAATAACAGTAAGCCAGTCTGAAGTTTGATTGCTGCGTTATTGATGTTTTACATTAGCTGATAGACATTTTATTTAAATTTAAATCGTATTGCAGTCTGTAAACTGAATCAGATGTACTATTTTCATTACTTAATTTTATTTTCCTATGAAAGGTTTCATTTTTGAAGATCTTATATTGTAGCTTGACAAAATTGACTTTGAGTGTGTCATGCTTTTGGTGGTTTCCCATGTGAAACCAAACATACACTTTGTGCTCCTCTTTATTTTTATTAAATGTATATGTATATTGTATTTTATTTATTTGTTTTTTGTTTCTTGTTTTTCTATAATGCTAATTTACTGCTTCTCAAGTCACCCTTTGTTTCCTTTGGATCTAAATTCAAAATCAAAATCAGATTTCTTTTCACAACTTCTTGGCATCAATCTAGTTAATTTCCATCTGAAGACAGCTTTAAAAAATGAAAAGAACTTCGATAATGACATTGCTATAAATAACAAAATTGCAAATTGGATGCTGAATAATATAAATGATAGTCTTATTTTGTTCCTAACACATAATTCTATGGTCTATATGATTTTAGTTGGGTCAATCATATATCTTAAAAATTCTTTCATGAATCCATCATCTTATCATGAAGACTGATGTATCCTTAATTGATTTTTTTATTTCAAAAATTTGCTCAGTGTAAGAACTAATTATGAGCCCCGACCAGGTTGAGGATCCTAATGATATCCAAAATGTTCCGGCTTTGGTGGGGAATGAAGTAGGAGCTAAGGAGAAAAAATCTACTAGCCAAGAAGTCGCACATGAGGAGAGGAAACCAGAATCAACTTCCACTACAATAAACACATCAGAACTCCCTCCTCATATCCTTCTTGGAATGCCAGCTTTGTCCCCAACAATGGTGAGATCATTTTGATGCTACTATTTGATATTACTACTGACCTAGATTTTCTTTCCTTCCATTTGTGTGTTAATTTATAATTTCTGTGCAGAACCAAGGGAACATTGCTAAATGGAGAAAAAAAGAAGGAGACAAGGTTAGGATTGTTTCAATGCCAGGTTTTGAGTGTGCTTTTAACTTATCATTGGATTTGTTAATATTCTAAATTGTGATGGATGTTGATACTCATTAAAATCTTTCTTCTCCCTTTTTGCTTCTGGACGCTCATTTAATTGATTTAACAGATAGAAGTGGGTGACATATTGTGTGAGATAGAGACGGACAAAGCTACCCTTGAATTTGAGAGTCTTGAAGAGGGGTAATATAGCCCTTACCTCTGCATAACATATTGCGTTCTTAATAGGCACTTTGTTTGGCATTAGATGAGGCAATATCCATTCCATATATCATGCATTTAGCTGCCCGCTGCATTTTTTATCTATCTATTCACTTATATGCTCCATTTGAAATAATGTATTATTGTAGTGAACACTTGGCTATGTAAGTGACTTGTAAACTTTGTTACTAATGTGTCTGATTTGTTTCAGAAGTGTTTACAGCCATCTTGATTTTATTAAAAAAGGAATTATTGATTTTCATCAAGCTGTAGATTAAAGTTTGACAAAAGTAAAAATTGGAATGGTGTCTTTGGAAGAATAATCTAATCCTTGATTACATATTAGATGATAATAATCTCATTTTGTAGTTTGTCATCTTGTATTTGTGTTCAATTAAAGGTCTTGAATTCCTGGATCTTTTGCATAAATCACGCATTAGAGTCTGTAAATTTAACATAACGTGTATTTGTACTCTTTTTGGTATGTGATTATATTATGTCAAGGGCTTTATTGTCTTTTTATATTACTATTTCCTTTTATATATTGCTGGTTTTGCATTCTGGTAGTTATTGTTAGATTGAGGGACCACCTAATTTGGCATATGTCCATGCTTAGGAATATATGCTTTACCTTGCCTCTTGCCATTTGTGAAATGAATCAGCCTCTTTCCTCCTTCCTTCTTTTGTGCTCTTAACATTAAGGTATCAAAACCATCTCTTTGGCTATGGCTTTTGTCAGAGATATGATCCAATGAATGCCTTGGGGACCTTGAGCATTGTTTGGAGATGCAATTGGCTTTGCTTCAAAGCACCTATTAGATATTAGACCAACACGCTTAAGACATTAATGAGATTAAGCAAACCATTTCTCGACTTTCTAACTAGGTGAATGAGCTATTAGCTAAGCTCTCTATGCTTACCAACCAACCCCTACGCCTTCCTATGGTCGAATGGGTGAACCATCTAACATGCCACCAAGTAACCTTTCGCCTCCTCTTTGGTTGGCAAGGACGACCTTTGCATCTTTTGCAGCTATTCCTCTTCCACCTCCTTCTTGGCTAGCAACACTCTCGGTTGCCGCTCCTCTACCTTCTACGTTTGCTTAGCTGCCTTAGTTTGGCACCTTTCAAGGTCTTTTACCCACGACACAATTACCTTGTTTACTCCTACTGAGCATAGTAGAGTTGAATTTCCCAAGTTTGATGAAACAGATTTTAGAGGGTGGGCATATCGTTGTCCCTAGTTTTTTTATGTTGGTATTTAAGCATCCATCTTGATAATTGAGCCTTATGATGGCATCTAGCCTTTATAAATTAAAGACACTTGTCAGAGCTTTCTTGGGATGAGTACTGTCGAGAGATAGAGGTGAAATTGGGTGATGTGAAAGGCGAAAGCCCCATGATAGCTGTAAAGAAATTACAAATGCATGATTTGGTAGAGGATTATGAAGAATTTTGACAAATTGCTCATAGAGGTGGATTTATCGGAGGAAGCAACCATGAACTATTTCATTGGGGGCTTACGTAACTATGTGTAGAAAAGTGTTCTTAGCCTCCAACCCCCAGGAACATTGGCCAACTTTGTGAAGATGGCGGGATGTTAGATGGTCATGATTAGGGCAATACATGAGAACGCTCCAAACTTGACAGTGGCAACTCCCAAGCTTTTCCCTTGGTCTTTGGCATTTTCTTGGCTTAATGACTCTTCTTCCTTGGGTTTTAAGTCTAACCAGGTCTTTAAACCCATTTCAACAATTGGCCTATTAATAGACAAGCCCCCAAACACCTCAACATCCAGTTTGGCTAAATCCACTGGGTCAAAACCCTTTAAACAACTATCCAAGTGAGAGATGGACAAATGATGTCGTAAAGGATTTTGTCATTGGTAGTAGCATGCATAGACGCAATGAATCGCAAGTCTTTTCTCATTGTTGAGGAAGATGCTAAAGTGTTTGAAGATGCATTGGAGGATATTGTGTAGGTTTGAACCCACTAGTACCATTGAGAGAGAGGAGGGCGCATCTACGTTAAGGTTGCTCAACGATGTGAAACGATAATAGATAATCATTTTAATTGATATGGGGAGTACTTATAATGTGATTGATTATGGGGTGGCCAAAAGGCTCAAATTGAAAATTCAAGAGAAAGCTGGAGTTTGAATTATTGTTGCTAGCAATAGACAAATTTTGGTTACTAAGCATTGTTTGAATTTGGAATGGGGAATGGGGGAATCTTTCTTTTCACCTATTTTTTTGGTGATTAAAATTGGGGCATATGACATGATTCTTGGAGCATAGTGGTTAAATACTTGGGGTCGGTTCACCATGGATATTGATGAAAAGTTGTTTGAATTTACAATGAATGGCAAGCTTGTTGAATTGAAAGGGTTTGGACATGGAGCACCTACTTCTATTGCAGAAGAAGTGATCGTGAGCTGTGAAATGTTGGTAACTAATCACCTTTATTTGATTCATATTCCTCATCACTTGCAAGTAGAATTATCACAATATTCTTCTCTTAGATAATCAGCAATTTGAGTTGCAGAATCTTTTATATTCCTTCATGGCTGTGTTTGCCGAGCCCTCTATACTTCCTCCTTCTCGTTCATTTGACAACTTTGTTTCTCTTAAAGTGGGTCAACCCATTTGTTGCAAACCTTATCACTGTGGATGGTGCAAAAATCTGAAATTGAGAAACAGGTTCTACAAATGCTCAACAATGGTATTATTAGAGAAAGCAGCAGCGTATTTGCTGCCCTTGTTGTTTTGGTTCAAAAGAGAGATGGATTGTGGCATTTTTGTGTTGATTATAGAAGGTTAAATGAGGCTACTGTTAAAAATAAATTTCCTGTTCTAGTGATAGAAGAACTCGTAGATGAGCTTACAGGTGCTAAATTCTTTTTCTAAATTGGACTAAAGAGCCGGCTATCATCAATATTGAATGAGAGAGGTAGATGTAGCTAAAACAACTTTATGGACTCATGGAGGGTTGCATGAATTCATGGTAATGCCATTTTGCCTCACCAATGCCTCAGTCGCTTTTCAATAGAATGCTTAGAGAAGATATTATTGCCTTTATGGAAGCATCAACTTTTTGTTAAGTGCATTTTTGCTGCAAACTAGGTTGGTTATCTCGGCCATTTAATCACAGCACGAGGGTTTCAAGTGAACCTAAAGAAGCTGGAAGCAATTGCCTTTGGTTAGGATCCTCTTCTGTATGGGCTTACAGGTTACTAGCACTTTGTTAAGAATTATGGCTCTATTAGTAGTCCATTAACTGAGTTGTTGAAGAAGAATGAGCATTTTGTATGGTCTCAAAGGGCTCAAATAGCTTTTGAAGCTCACAAGCAAGCCATGATTTCTCCTCCCGTGCTTGCTCTACCCAACTTCAACAAGGCTTTTGTTATTGAGACTGGTGCTTTGAGAAATGGATTGGGAGCTATATTATCCCAAAATGGCCATCCTTTGGCTTTTTCTAGTAAGGCATTGTCTCCACTTAGGCAAATGTCAACTTATGGCTATCATTTTTGATATAAAACAATGGTGGTCTTACCTTTGGGCGTGAAAATTTATCATCAAAACAGATCATTTACATCTGAAACATCTTTTAGAGCAGTATGATTTACGTCAAGAGCACTATAAGTGGCTTCATAAGTTGTGGGGGCTGTACTATGAAATTCTTTATTGCAAGGGGAGTGATAATACAATAGCTTACGCTTGAATGGGGTTTCTTGGCTCTTTCAATCATCATTTCACCTCTTTATGATGGAGTGTGTGATTCTTGGCTCCTTGATGAGCATTTACAGTGGCTAGTAAGCATACATGGGAACATCATTTGCTGAAATGGAAAGGTAAACTAATGGTGGGAGCTGACCGTGGTCTTCAAGATGATTTGCTGAAGCTTTTTCATGCTGATGCCATTGGGGGACATTCAAGTATGACCCCAACTTATAGAAGATTTGCTTCTTTCTTTTATTGGGAAGAATTGGAGAGGGATGTTTGCAATTATGTGTGTCAATGCTCATCGTGCTTGTGCATTAAACCTGAGTTAGTAGCTTTTTGAGGCTGTCTTCAACTTTTACCTATTCCTAAGCATGTTTGGTCTGGTATTTTAGTGGATTTTATTAGTGGTCTTTTGAAATCTTACTAAGACTACTATCTTCGTTGTGGTTGACCATTTAGCTAAGGCTGCTCACTTTGTGGTTGTTAAACATCTTTTTATTGTTGTGGATGTAGCTAATGTTTTTATGGATAATGTTGTCAAGTTGCATGGTTTCCTAAGCCTATTGTGTTTGATAGGGACCTATTTTTTGTGGCAAGTTTCGGAAGGAGCTTTTCTCCGATATATGGGGTTTGTTGAGAAACAAAGTAGATATTGTTTGATATTAGGGCTGACTAGATTATGATTAGGAAGATCAATATATATCTTTTGTAATTATTACTCATTATTTTTTTCTCTTGTATATATTCACTGACTACTTATCAAATCTCTCAATTTCATATGTTATTAGAGCCATAAATTTGATTTGGTTTAGGGTTGTGCTTCCTTCCAGCCCCTTTGTCCTTTTCTTTCCCTAAAAAAAAAAAAACAAAAATAAAAACAAAATTGCAGTTTTCTTTGGCTTATCATCTCTAAATTAACGGACAAACTGAAGTACTCAATTGTTGTTTGGGATGCTACCTTCATTGTATGATTTGAGATTGTTTAAAACAGTGCGTTAAATGGCTACTGCTAGCTGAATTATGTTACAATACCACCATTCATCAATTGGGAGGCCCATTTGAAGCATTGTATGGGGCACCTCCTACTCATCTACCTTATATTGTGGGTGATTCACCCAATGAAATGGTTGATAGAACTTGCATTTCTAGAGAGCCAACCATGCAGATTTTGAAGCCACACCTATTGACGGCTTAATGGAGAATGATTCAACAGGCTAATAAGCACAGATCTGATTGTAAATTTGCAGTGGGCGATATGGTTTTCCTTAAATTGCACCCCTTTAGGATGAATGTACTGAATGATTCTTCTTTGCATAAGCTGCCTACTCACAATTTTGGGCCTTTTAAGGTGGTGAAGTGAATTGGTGCTGTTGCACGTGAGTTGGACCTACCTATTAATACTAGAGTGCATCCTGTGGTCCTTGTTTCTTTGTTGAAAAAGCATGTTAATCCAGCTGTTCCTGGTAATCCGACCTTGCTGCCAGTAGATGATCAAGGCCAATTTATGCTTGAACTAGAGGAATTTTTGGGAGGAAAATTGTTAAGCATCATAATTTGCTTGTCACTCAAGTTTTGGTTCATTGGAAATTTTCTCATCCTGAAGATCTTGGGAGGACCTTTCTGCCATCAAAGAACAGTTCCCTCACTTCTGTGCTGATGCGCTAGCTTCTATTACCATCCTTGTGGACAAGGATGTGTTTTAGGAGGGGGGATATGTATATGTTTTGCTAAGGGCTTACTTCCTTTTTGTATTACTATTGCCTTTTACATATTTGCTGGTTTTGCATTAGGGTAGTTATTGTGAGAGTGAGGAACCACCTGATTTGGTATGTTTCCATGTTTAGGGATATATGCTGTACCCTACCTCTTGCCATTTGTGAAATGAATCAGCCTCTTTTCTCCTTCCTTATTCTCTTCTCTTTACACTTTCTTTGTTCTTTCTATTAATATTTTGATTTTTTTAAAAAGAAAAAGACAAAAAAGAAAAAAAAAAGAATTTGACACAAGCTTTGTTGTAATGCTATTCTAGATATCTAGCTTTGATATTAGCACCAGAAGGTTCAAAGGATGTGGCAGTGGGACAACCTATTGCAATAACAGTGAGTTTGAATTCATAATGCTTGTCTAATGATTTAGCTTCTGGAAAACCTAGTTAGATATTTTTTTTACGCATTAATTATTTTACTTTAAACTTGGGTTTTCTTTTATGCTATTTTAAATTTAGCTTTATTTTCTTTTATTTGGGCTTAAGCTAGTATTTTAATTATTTAATTTGGGGTTCAATAATAGCCTTGGTTTACTTGCATGACAGACATTTTGTTGAATTACTAATTAAGACTAAATAATTGCTGTCAATTTTCTCTCTCACTGTCTCTTTCTCCCTTTATCTCTGCACTGCTCCCTCCTCCTTCTCCCCTTTCCCCCTTGTCCTTCAAAATATGTTGGTTGATGAGGGAGGTCCAAAGTTTTGTTAGCTTTGCAATTTGAATTGAAGAACTCTTTGGCTGAATGATAGCTATTTATTTGCTTGGTTTATGAAAATGCTAGTCTTAATTTTCATCTTGCAAGATACTGGAATATGTGGAAATACTTAAACTTCTTTTAGCTAGGTTGAAGATGTATCTGATGTTGAAGCCGTAAAGAATTCGGTCAGTAGCAGTTCACTTAGCCAACAGGAAAAGACCACTGTCCAAGACACTAAAAGTGAAGGTGGAGCACAGAAGACCAATGCAGCAAGGATCAGTCCAGCTGCAAAGTTGTTGATCCTAGAACATGGATTGGATGCATCCACATTGAAAGCATCAGGTCCTCATGGAACCCTCCTAAAAGGGGATGTTCTTTCTGCTATTAAGTCAGGAAAATTATCTCCGAAACCCGCTTCTAAAGAAAAGGTACCATCATCACAAAGTCGTCAACAGGTTGCTGCATCTCTAGAGTCTAAATCTCCCCTAAAGCAGTCAGATGCTTTTGAAGATTTGCCAAATAGCCAAATTCGTAAGGTAGGTCCATTGAATTCATTTAAAAAATGGATGCGGTTCTTTTCCAATTCTTGCTGTTTCAAAAAAAAAAAAATTTATTAGAGAGAACAAGAAGTACGACGATAGAGGAGTGTGAGACAGCCTCCTAATAGAGAAGAAAACTGAACACAGTTTTGGTGCCTGTAAAATCATGCATATTGACAGCAGAAGAGTTACAAGCTTTATAGAAAAGAAGCCCCTGAAGAACCACAAGGATTTGGCTGATAATCATGCAGCCAGAATAAGGAAAATTACTTTAATCCCATGAAATTAATGATCATAGTCAAACTGGGTCAATTAAAACAAATCAGCAAATATCCCATCATAAATGAGCTTATTAACTTGCCAACACTCTCCCTCAAGCTAATGAATATATATTTATCATTCTCAACTTGCCACTATGTTCAAGAAACTTGATTCTTGAAGGATCTTTGGTGAGTAGGCTGCTATTTTAGAGTAAGATGAGACATAGACAAGGTGTATTGTATTCTTTGATGAAATGCTTGTCAATTTCTTTGAGAGTGAAATGTGCATACATTGTTTGGTGTATTGTATTCTGGGTGACCTTGTGAAATATCCATGTATACTTCCAATGACAAGTCATTAAGGAAAGCATTTTTGACATTGAGTTTTTGTTGCAAGAAACAATATTACTTTTATTGTCTTCAACTTGGCCGCAGGAGCATATGTTTCTTGGTTGTTAATGCCCTGAGTTTAGATGAACCCTTTTTGTAGAGAGGAATCGAGAGAACTGTATATTTCATTGAATCAGAGATTATAGATATATGCAGCAGTGGTCACGTAATCTTTGCTCTCTCAATCACAAGATCTTTGTGACACAATTGATAATTAACAAGATTTCATTGCTGCAACTTGCCATAATATCAAATGGCTTTTCTGTAAATATCCTGATCACTTTGCAGGTGATTGCCAAGAGGTTGTTGGAGTCTAAACAAAATACACCTCACTTATATTTGTCATCAGGTTTCACTCCTTGTGCTCAACCTATTTGTGTTAATTAACTATTTTTGCATAGATTGACTGAACCATATGATTTTTGTAATGGTGCATATCAGATGTTATACTGGATCCACTTCTTTCCCTTAGAAAAGATCTCAAAGGTTTGGACTATTAAACTGTATTGCTCTTGTTAATGGGATATACGCATTGGTCATATTCTCTATTTTCTTTGATTGAATGCAGAGCAATATGGTGTTAAAGTTTCGGTGAATGATATTGTCATCAAAGTTGTAGCCTCTGCTCTCAAAAGTGTTGCAGAAGCAAATGGTAAATAATCATTCTCTTTAACTTTTCTTCCCATGCATATCAATTGATTTTTATTTCTTTTTCCTTTTTTTGGGGGCAAGGGGTGCTTTTGGATTTCCATATGAAAACAACAAGAAGAAGCTTTATCCCACTAGGTGGGGTTGGTTACTTGGATTGTACGATAACATTGTGTTTTATTATTTATTAAGTTTTTAAGAATGTTAATAAAGAGGTCTCAGTCAACAATTTTCGTAAGTTTTTTTTTTTTGAGCCTTCCTCTACCCTTTTTTATAGAGCTTAAGATTATCCGTTTCGCTCTCCTCACTAGTACCTCCTATGGTCTTTTTTGTATATGTCCAAACTATCTCAAATGATTTTCTACCATTTTTCCCTCAATGGATGCCATGTCCACTTTTCTTTGTATGTGTTCATTTTGAATTTTATCTTTACGTATATGCTTGCATATTTATCTCAACATTTTTATTTCTACTACTTCAACTTTGTGCTCTTGTTGTTCCTTTAAAGCCTAACATTTACTACCATATAATATAGCTAGTTTTATAGCAGTTCGAGAAAACTTCCATTTAAGTTTATGAGGTATCTTTCAATTACAAATAACTTTTTTAGCCTTTCTCTAATTAAACTATCTAACTTGTATTCTATGTGCAACATTCTCACAATTTTTCCATCATGTTGAATAATAGCTCCCAAGTGTCTAAACTTTTTCATTTGAGGTATAATCTGATCTTCTAATCTCACTTCCATATTGCTACTTGTTGTCCTTTTATCAAAATTACAATACAAATATTTCATTTTATTCCTATTTAGGTGGAAACCCTTCAACTCCAAGGTTTTTCTCCATAACTCAAGTTTGAAGTTAATCTCTTATCTTGTCTTCGTAATAAGAACTATCTCATTCTTGAAAGTATGCATTTAGGGATTTTCTTTTGAACATGATTAGTCAAAACATCTAGAATTAGGTCAAACAAATAAGGACTCATATGATTCTTCATATAGTCAAATTCTTGTAGAAAAGTTTTTTGTTTCATTGCTAGACATTATCATATTGGTTGTTGCCCCATCATACATAGTTTATATAGCTCTAATATAGACAACCCCAGACTCCTTTCTTTTTCAAGGTTTTTCAAACTACTTTTGTTGGTATATGTTTGTAAGTTTTTTCTTCAAATCAATCAAAATCATGTGTAAGTTTTTGTCTTTGCTTAAATACTTTTCCATTAATCCTCTTAGTAGATAAATTGCTTCTGTAGTTTCCTTGCTTGGCATATAGTCAAATTGATTCTCAGAAATACCAGTCTCCAATCTCAACCTATGCTTAGTCACTCTTTCCCCCAATTTCATTGTATGGATCATAAGCTTAATGCCTTCATAGTTTGTACAATTATGAATATCCTGTTATTTTTGTAAATAGGGTTTCTATGAAGCATGGATACGTCAAAACTGCTGCCATGTCTGTGTTGGATATGTATCCGACATGGATACACGTTCAAGATGTGGATGTAGCATGTCCGCTTTTTCATCTTTCGTCGGAAACGGGTGGACATGGGCAGGTTTGAGTAGACAAGGGTTTGACATGAAATTCTGCATTTTGGCCTTTTTAAAAAAAGTTTTCCCAAAATTAGAAGCCCTATGTGCCTTGTCCAGTCCATCCTTTCCCCTTTCATTCTGCAAAATTTGTCGCGTATGAGCATTGCTCTGTCTCTCTAACCCACAGTCATCGTTGCATCATCAGTCCGACACCTCCTCAATCACTGTTTCAGCTTCTTCTCCAGCCTCACCTCTATACTCTGTTGCTTCTTCTTCAGCTTTGTCTTCTCCAGCCTCCTCATATCAAAAATTGGTTTTGTCGCTCTTTCATTCAATTCTTCTCTGGCGCTATCTTCTCTGGTCTCTGGCATAAGTTCTTCTCCGGTGCTTCTTCTAGTCAGTTCTTCCGTTCTGAAACTGCTTACCTCTGGTCACATCTTTCATTCCATTGCTGTCTTTGGGCATATAGTTGTGCTTTAAAGTTTTTTTTTTGGTTTTATATTAATAAAGGAAAGTGGGAACTGGGAAAATTAATTCTAAAAAACACAGACAAGAAGATATTGCAATTTGGCTTTTTATATTCTCATAATCACACAAGTTAACCCCACCATAGAAATTTTTTTTTTCATTTTGATGGTTTATTTCTTTTAACTTTACTATTAATGAAGAACATGGGAATCATTATCTTGTGTCACTTGATATTGCTTAATTGCATAACTGTTTATTGTATTGTAAATATATGTGTATCTAAATATTTAATATTTAATTATGTTTATTGTATTGAAAATGTGTTTATTTAAATATTTAATATTTAATTATTTACATAGCCGTACTTGTATCCTGAAATTTTTGAAAATTGTTGTGATCATGTATCATACCGTACTGTATCCGGCACTCGTATCCGTATCGGTGCTCCATAGATAGGAATTAAAGTGCTTCTCCTCCATTCGTTAGGCATTTTCTTAGACTGTAAGATCTCATTGAATAGCATAGTTAGCCACTGCACCCTTTTTTCATCTAAACATTTCCGCATTGTATGTAGAAACCAATTTCTTCTCATGTAGAAAACAGCTACTCTTACGTCTGTTTTAGGTTGACTTGATCAAATTCATGAATATGATATGATTAACTGGCACTTAACTTGAATATCATTTTTCCCTAGTTTTCGATGTCCACCAAAAATCTGAAGTGTTGACAAAGACATGTCCATGCATCCATAGTTTTGTTTTAATTTTTTTCCAGTTAGCTTGTGACTCTTAGAATTGAATTAGTCTCTATTGAAATTTGCAATCCTGAAATCTGGTTCCAATAATTTGCAGCCTACTGGGATGCTGAGAAGGGTGAGGTTATTTTATGCAAGTCTGTTGACATATCAATTGCTGTGGCTACTGAGAAGGTAAATGATCGTGTAGATTTGTTCATAATATTTTACAAATCATTGAACTTTCTCGTGGCTATAGGGCTTGATGACGCCAATTGTCAGGAATGCTGATCAGAAGACAATATCTTCGATCTCCTCAGAGGTAGCTTAAAAATAGTGTTTCTTAAGTAACAGCTTTGCTATTGTTTAGTGAATGAAGATAATGGAAACTAGTGCATTTGTTGATTTTTGTGAAGAATAATTTAATGATTGACTGGTTTATCAGGTCAAGGAACTAGCTGAAAAAGCACGCTCTGGCAAGCTAATGCCACATGAGTTCCAGGGAGGAACTTTTAGGTGAGTTTGCTACGGATATTGTCATACAGATGTGGTTAAATTTTGGCATGAAATCATTATTTTCTCATGCCTAAAACTGTAATTTTGTGTTTTTGACTTTACATCAATGCAGCATTTCAAATTTGGGAATGTTTCCTGTGGATCAGTTCTGTGCTATAATAAATCCCCCACAGGTTCCTCCTCTTCTCTTCAACTCCCCACTTTCTTTCCCTGGGCCAAACACAAATATTATCATGTGGACCTCCATTTTAATGGCAAACCAAGGATTGTAGCTGTACTAAGGACTAACTCTCCATTGTTTTGTTATTATTTGATGCAGGCTGGCATTCTTGCTGTTGGTAGGGGTAAAAAAGTTGTGGAACCAGTGATGGGAGCTGATGGTATAGGATATATTTGTATATTAGTCAACACGTAATCCTGAGTTTATGAGTTGTTTTCACATTGATAGTATTTTTTCAGGAACTGAGAGGCCAGCTGTTGTTACTAAGATGAACTTGACCTTGTCTGGTGATCATCGCATTTTTGAAGGCAAAGTTGCAGGTATATCTGACTAGAACACTTGAGTTAGCTTATAGTCCTCTAAGTGCATGTTTGAATTCCCCTTTTGCAAACCAAAAAGACTTTTAGAAAACAAACTTTTGCCCTAACTGATGTTTGGATGCTTTTCATATTGAGTTTGCAAAATGGAAAATGCATGTAGAAAGCTAGTTTTACAACGCAAGTCAAAGTAGCTTTTGACTAAAGTTAGTTCAGTTCAGCAAATGTCCGTTTTGCAAACTGTAAACCAACGATGGACTATGTTATTGTCTCTCCAAAACTGATTATAAACAAGAGTGGCCGTGCTTTATGGTTTGTAAAATCACAAATAAGTTAGTTATCAAAGCATTTAAAATATAACAAAATTGAAATATGTTCCTGTGCAATGTATGGGGAGACTCAATATTTTCAGAAAGAAAAACACAATTTGAAGCATAGTGTCCTGCATTCCAAAAAAATATCGTTCCAATTAATTATGGTAAATGATTTGTTTTTATATTAATGTCACATTAATGAATTGTTACTTAATAGTAACAATGTCTTGAAACCAACATACAATTATATTACGTTGACAAATGACTAGAAATTTTGACTAACAGCAAAAGTATAGGGAGATGGCTCTTCATTTCCACATTTTCACTAGAGTTTAAATATCCTTATCCAATTCAAATAGTAGTGAAGTTATGTTTATGATGGTGAAGGTTATACAAAGTGTACATACACATCCAACATTTATATTTTGACAATTTTCAATTATCATACTATATTTCCTCGTTTCTCTTATTGTATCTACTTTAAGATCCCTGATTTTTATTCTTTCGCTGCAAATGGATATCTGCCACTTGCCAGTATAATATATATGATTCTTAGTTTTGATTTGAGCAAAATCTTAGTTTAATCTCTCCCTAATTATTTTGAGAATAAACAAGTGGAGATACGTGATTTCTTATATATTATTAAGATATCTTTCTATTGCTCCATCTTGTTATTATCTTTATTGTCAACAGATTTGATCCTTATTGAAATGTTAGCGAATAAGTTCTTGCATGCGTATATTTGTGTGGAATTTGAGAGCGGAAAATATTTCTCATTTCATTTCAGTACTGAGATACATGTTGAATATATATATATACACAACAGGGAAAATAATTACTAGTAAAGCCTGATAAATACTAATGAAGGCTATACACTAAGGGGCAATATTGACAATAAATATGAAATATTCCTGCAATTTTATTCCTCAAACGAGAGAAGTATGTATACTAGACTGCAAGGGTTTATATTTCCTAAAATATAGAAAAAATATAAATTACTGATATAAAAGGAAAAATTTTAAAAAAAAGAGAGAGCACGATAGACTTAAAATCAAATAGATCCAAATGAATAATAGGCCAATACCCAAACACTCCCCCTCAAGCTAAAGAATAGATATTTATCATCCTAGCTGGCTGCTCAACTGTTCAAATTGATCCTTGGAAATTGCCTTTGTACAGATATATGCAACTTGAGCACTTGGTGGTAGCAAGATCGACCACTTTTGATTCAGTATTTGCTTTGATAAAATTTCACCTTATTTCCACATGCTTCATCTTGTCATGATGCATGGGATTTCCGGAAATCTTGATCATAGCCATGTTGTCACACCATAGTTTATTAGGTGTTGATATACTAAGCTTGAGCTCACAAAGTAGTTTCAAGATCCACATCTTTTCACAGGTTCCTAGAGCAACTGCCCTGTATTCTGCTTTTGCTGAGCTTCTAGTTATTTTTTGCTTTTCCACGTAACTAAATTTCCCCATACAGGTGCAATAGTTTGTGGTTGATCATCTCACTAGATTTCCCCACACTGGGGCAAAGGTCTCTTGGTAATCTACTTCATAGGTTTGTGCAAACCCTCTGGCTACCAACCTTGCCTTGTACCTGCTTACAGTCCATTATATTTTTTGGTAAACACGCACTTGAATCCCACAATTTTCTTTCCTTTTGGTAAGTTCATGGCTTCCCAAGTCCCATTCTTTTCAAGAGCACTTCATTTATGTCTACCAACCTTGCCTTGTACCTGTTTACAGATGGCTGCACGCCATTTTTGATCAATAATAGCCTCTTGTTAAGTTTAGGTATTGCATCATTCGTCACTTTTCAAACAAATGCTCCGAGGTTTGGTGGCAATTTTTCATATGAAACAAAATGACCTATGGGATGTATGGTACACGACTTCTTTCCTTTTCTCAATGCAATTGGTTTCTCTAAAACTTCAGGATCAGTCTTTAGTTGGCTCAGCATACGAATATCTCTGTCTTCACCATCATGCTCACTCATTTTTGACCTCGTTTTCCCCTAGTATCACCCTCACCATCTTCCCTTTGATTTGTGCCATTATTTCGCCTGGTATATATCTTCAGTTGTGATTGCTTTGGTTTAGGTTAATCCTCCTTTGCCTTAGTTACATCTGAAGCAATTTCCAGGTTAGGGACAAACCTGTTTGAGTCAATAGAAGGAATATTAGGAATGGTAGGTGAGTTTTTATGGCTGGTTTTAGGATGAGAGATCGAAGGAGGTGGTTGAATGATTGGTACAGGTGGTATTTGGGGTGTAAATTCAATCATATTGCGTGGTTTAAATGTTGAACCATTACACATTAGCCATTCATCTCTCTCTCTCTCTCTCTCTCTCTCTCAATGGACTATCTTGGATAGAAAGGTTCATTTTCAAAAAAAGTTACATCCACTTTGACAAGTTATTTGTGATGAGTGGATGAATACATTTAAGTCCCTTTTGAGTTGGAGAATACCCTGAAAAACTACATTTGATGCCCTGAGGATAGTTCCCCCATTATCATTATGAACGAAAACAGTACATCCCAAAGATCTTTTGAGGTAGAGAAGAAAAAGACAATCAAGATAAAATTTTTGAGGCATTTGAAGAGGAGTCTTAAATTGAATGAGTTTCTGAAGGCATTCAATTAATTTTAAATATGCATCTCTGAGGATAGCATTCCCCCCAAAATACATTTGGAACATTACAAGTTGACGTTAAAGCCGTGAAACATCTAAAAGATACGTATATTTGCGTTCGGTGATTCCATTTTGCTATGGTGTTCACAAGAAGTTTGATCTTAGATGTCATTTTCTTTCAAATAAGTTTTAAAAGAGATCAAATATTCCTGTCCATTGTCACTTCGAAGAATTTTAATAGACACATGAAATTGATTTTTGGAAAATTGATAATGCTTCAATTTTTTCTCTCATTGAAAGCATCCAGGTTAATTGGGTATGATCGAAAATGAATGTAATGAACCACTTAGCTTTACAAAAAGTTAGAACCTTAGAATGACCATGAATTAATGCAAAAGGCTGGGATGGTTTATAGGGATTTGGTGGATAATTATTTTTGACGTGCTTGGCAAGTTTTGCTAATCAAGTCAATTTTATTCATCAAATCTGGAAACGAAAATTTCATGTTAAGAGAGCAGTAGACTGAAAAAACAAATAGGCCGAAATGAAGAATACGCCCATTCCCAACAGTTAGTTTCTTTGAAAGACTTGCTATTATTATTATTATTATTATTATTATTATTATTAGGGTGCAGAAACGGACTTGCTTATTATTGAATAACTTCGATATTTAATCCTTCATATGTTTTGGGTATTTGCTGCAAGACTTGGAGATTGATTAACGTTAATCATAGTGACATTGCTCATGAGGTTTATCTATTTTGCAGGAGCATTTATTTCAGCGCTGCGATCAAACTTCAGTGACATAAGAAGACTTCTTTTATAATGCATAAAGGAATTGTTCTTCCTTTAAATTGGGCGGCTTAAGACGCTGTTTAGCTTAGCTTGCGTCCTCCACAACCCAAATATTAATCTTCCATGTCAGCTTCATTTTTGCCCTTCTCAATCTCTACATCTGAAACCCTGGCTCCTTATGCCAATGCCTTGCTTTTTATTGTTGATAAAAAATAACACTGGTCTAATGACCAAGCATCCTAAGAAATTACCCTTTTTGGGGGGTTAAGTTTAACCATTGAGGTTTCAACCTTTGAGATTTTGTCCCTCTGCCCTTTGAAGCTGTAGAAATAATTGTGTACGGTCAACAGCGGAAGCACCGGCAATTGAGTTAATGAATGGTTAGTGATTCTTTTTTATGATCCTACATGTGTTACTTTGTGTTATGCGTATCACATTTGTGAATGGAAGTTTCAATTATCCTTAAAGATTGTTGTTGTATTCAAAAATTAGCAAGAGAATGAACTGCGAAGATGGAAATAGTTTTTTTTTTAAATATATTTTCACCATTTTTCTTATGAACATCATTAATAATTATTTGAATGAACGGTATGCAATTTTAAGATATAAGCAATGATATAATATAGTGGTTGCTTTTTGTAAATTCAGAGAACTTTTATTAAAAAGGGAAACAAGAGTTGTTAACTTGATTGATACATTAACGAAAAGGCAATATTTAAAATAAAAACATAATATGTCTTATTTTCATAGTAAATAAATAAACACTGAATAATTATTGTTATTATATAGATTTTTCTTTTCTTTTCTTGCTAAAACAGTTCTATAGATTTTTTTCCCAAAAAAAAAAAAAATCCCCCTGTAATTGCAAGTTGAAGGTTCTTTAGTGTACTAGGGTTAAAGTAAAAAAACATCTATAAAATATTTTGCTGGAAGCTACTAGCATTTTAACTTAAGTATAACGTAATTTTACCTATTAATTTTGAAAAATGTTGCAAAACTCCTCAATATGTAATAGAGGTTAGATGTTTTTTAAGTAAAGGTTGTAAATCTCACTTGTAACATGTGTAAATGAGTTTCGGGCAAAAATGTCTATTAAGTATTATAATATAGCGCAGTTTTGCTCACTACAACTAAAAAATGATGCAAAATTTTTTAATATAAAACAAAGGCATATGATGGAAAACATTGATGGAGAATGTCAAAAAAATTAAGACTCAAAAGTGTAAATAAGAAAATACATGTTTTCAAATTTGTAATAGCTAGAATAAATCTTGAGCAGAGCATTTTATTTTTTTTTCCCATTTCACAATTACATAGACACTTCGATTCAGAACTTATCTGAAAGTTGTGCCAGCTCCCAAATCTCACTTTCTCACCCCTACGGAACATTCAAAAATTAGTTTTGAGGACTTGAAAAGGAATAGGGAATTTATCAAAATTAAGTTAGGGTATAATTTGAGATTTTAAAATGGTTAAAATAGTCATTTTGGGCATGGGGTGTCCCGGACTAATAAGAGGATCAAATAGAGCACCCTTGACTAAGAGCCTGACATGGGAGCACGTTCAGTGCTCGTCGGAGATGATGAGCACGTGATACTCATTACCTTTGGAATAATTTGGACAATTAAATACTTTTTTTAAATAAAAAATTTATAAAAATTTAATAAATATATTAATTACCAATTTATATATTTTATATTTAATCAAGTCATTCTAAATTTAATATTAATTTTTTTATAATTTTTATAAATTGACTATATAAATCTACTTTGTATTGTTTTGAATATGACAGTATAATAAGTTAAAAGTTTTAAATTTAAATGGTTTAGAGTAAATTTGTGCGGTTAATTCATAAAAATTATTAAAAATTAACATTAAATTTGGACTAGCATAATTAAATTTAAATGGTACATTTTGATAATTAATAGATTTATTCAAAATTTTACAAATTTTTATTTTAAAAAAAATAAAAAAAACCTAAATCTAAACCATCTAAATTTATAATTTTTAGAGTTGATGGTCATTGAATGTGCTCCAATACGCATGCACCGCTTATGACACATAGAAAGCACCAATTCTAGTGTTGTCCAACATCGAATGAGGTTATGTGGGGCTTGAAATCTCTTTTATTTGCATCAAACTGAAGCAGAAAAGAAGGGTTTTCGAGGAGCTAGTATCTCCACCTCTACTAGGACATAGTATTTAGTCCGATGGGTGCGTTTCGGAGGCTTTAAACATTCCTAGGTATGGTTCCTAACTTGTTTTTCCATCCCTTCACCTTTTTTTTTTTTTTGGGGATTTGGGTGTTTATAAGGTTAGGGTTTTGGTGTTCTTGAAGTTTGAAGATTTTCCTTTGATTAAATTATTGTTTTATGATTTGGAAACATTAATTTATCCTAGATTTGGGGTTCAATTGGAAGAAATTTGTTTAGATTTTTGGATTTGGGAATTTGAGGATTATGCTAGATGTTGAAATTTGTTAGTTAAATGGTGATTTTATTGGTTCGAAATTAATTATTAGATGTTGAATTTGGGAATAAATTTGTTTAGAATATTAGTTAAAATTGAAATTATGAATTGGAGAATGTAAACTTTACAAACTTGATTTGTATAATATAACTAACCATTTCACAAGCTTGTAAACTTTACAAGCACGTAGTACTACTATAGTAGGGAAAAAAAAATACTAATTCAAAATATTCTACCACAATAGAAAAGTTTATAACTTAAAATTAATAGCTAACTATGATAGAAAAAGAGCAAACTTACAAGAGATACCTACATAGTTTGGTTATGCCTTGAACAATATTATCTCTAACAAGAGGATACTTATGAGTCATAAAAATTTTCTCCAATGGTTAAAAGATTTAACCATGATTAAAAAAAAAAAAAGAATGAAAGTAACATTTAAAACCTACTATGGTTGAAAAGAGAATTACTAATATTTGTAAAATCATGATATAAAGCTCTCTTACCATGATAGAAATAACTCTATCAAGATGAATAATGTAAATTTTCATCAAAGCCAAGGTATTCCACAAATAATAAAATCCATACCAAAAACATTTTTTAAGACAAATCAAAAACTTGTTTCATCAATTAATCTGACATAGCAGAGCACAAGGGCCGAGGCATCAAATGTAACACCCCTCTAAATAAAAACTAGGATTAATTAAAACTAATCCAAAATTTATACAATTTTAAAATTAAATGTAGAATCAAGACCAAACCAAGATCCCACCTTAAGGAAATCCACTTGTAATACCAAACAAATACAACCCATCATAGAAGAGAGGGCTTCCTCTGCAATGAGCAAACCTACTATAGACCAAGCTCACAGGACACAGTAGAGAACAACTCCACAAATCAATAAAAACATAACGGAGGGGTATCATAATTCTAATGATTTATAACATACACAGAAAGAACACTTGGCCAAGGCTTGAAACCACATGTGTAAGAGTATGGATAAATGACCATATACCTAAGTCAAACCAACCTTTTCACCACACGAAGAAAGTGAGCTATAACTCTCAGCTAAAAAATGTTAGAATGAGAGGTGAAATATAAAATCTCAATAATCGGAGGAGAATTTTAATATAAATAGGCATGCTATAATACAATATATTTTCATAAAAGATGTGCATGCCTAAAAGTACTATACACAAAATCAATTTAAATTTGGTTTCTTAACTTTTGACAAAAGTGTAATCATTTCAAAAGAGTTTCTAGTCACTACTAAATCCATTATTTGTCAGATAATTATTATGTATAATTAATTTCAAATTTCATCCCTACTCAACACTCCCCTTCTATAGCCTATGGGCTATAATTTAGAAAGTTCTCCCATGACTAGCCTCCTTATGCAATCCTAGGCTAGAGGTTCTATGCATTCTAGAAGGGGATCATGAAGTTGTATCCACCTTCCATGGTCTAGCCACCATGATTTAATGAATAAATTTGCCTATTTTCTCTTTCTACTTCCTAGTGGAGGATAGTAAATAAAGAATAATAGGTCTTATATGCCACCCCATTTTCCTTCCCAGCCATAAAAATGAGTATCTTAGGGGCTAGCAATTATCACGTGATAATAAAGAATTACAAATATTCATCGATTCACAATAGTCACATCCCAATACCAATATAATAATTCCCAAAATACATATCTATTTGCATGTATCCAAAAACAATCATTTACCAAAAGGGTAAAAATCCATCAATAATCAAACAACAGGGGATATGTGACATTTCTCTAATATATTCCACAATTGTTAGGTAGGGCGCACAAAGCCATTTATCAAGATATTATATTTTTATTCAATAGATCATGACAATAACAAAATAGCTTTCATAATCACTTTTCAAATCTATAATACTTCACAATATTTCAATGCAATAATTACCATTTTCCTAAATACTACACTTTGTATAGGAAATACATCTTTTCAAACAACTCAAAAAAAAAAAAAATACAATAGCAATATGTACCACAATATCATTTTTCAAGACATAATAACATAAAACATTATCATTTTGTACCAAGTCAATGTCCACAATTCAACATCAAGACAAGGGCACAGCTAATAAAAGGAATATTTCTGTAAACTCATGCAAAATAACGACTACATATTATATGTACTTGTTACAACAAGAATCAAACCCAAGTTACCTCAACCCTTCAAGTTAGAAAGGCAACAAGGCCATCCAAAACCACTTCCAACCATAAACTATATATGCAACACTGCTATTGCAAGTTTAAGCCAATGCTTATTGTAATATCACCTAATTTACTTCAATCACTTAGCCATCATACTATTCATTATAGTGGTAATTAGGAAATAACCGTCCTAAATATCTTACCATGGTAAAAAAGAATTAATTGCAGTTAAGAAGAGCTAACATTAGTATAAAAGGGAAAGACCAAGGTTGAAGGTTTACTATGGTTAATAGAATTGAAATTACAAATATAATTCAAATAAAATGTATATAAATGGACCCTACCATGATAGATTCTATCATGGTAGATTAAAGCCAATTGTTAGATAATAGTATTCTAAAAAAGGTTGAAACCTGTAATTAATAAGGAGTAATCCAACATATCATTGGGATCCCAAGTTTTAAAGCAGGAAACTCAAATCCTTTTCAACTAAAATACACATAAGTTAGAGTGCAAAGCCATAAGGAAGCATAAGATACCGTATAGGACTTAATTATTAAGGAAAAATAGGGTTAAAATATCATTTGTGCATTTTACCGAGCATTCAAAACAGCCAACCACCTGTCCATTGGAACTAAACCTCCTTTGTACCATGCGCCGTGATGCATTACACAGAATGTGATAGCAAAAATTATTGTAAAAAATTAGTCTTACTGATGAACTTTCAACAAACCCTAGTTCTTC